CGCTCGTCACGGGGCGTCATTCTCTCTCCGCTGCTGCCGCACCGCAGGGCGCCCTCCCTGCACGCTGGTGGTGGTGTCCGCGACGTTGGGGGGTGGCTCTTCCCCGTGCCTCCTCTACTCGTGCCCCAACGACGCCGCGTGCCCCCTCGTGCCGGCGCCGGGCAGCCGGGCCACGGGAGTGCGCCACCGTAAATGTGAGCGCCAACGCGAGACCTCGCGCCAACGATGCCCTCGTGCCTCTCCTCGTGTGCCCCCTTGCGTGTCCCCGCCTGAACCTGCCTGGCCCCCGTGTCAGTCCGTCTTCCCCGGCGTGTCGCCCCACTTGGCGCTGTGTGCACACGCACTCCACACGCACTCCACACGCACTCCACACGCACTCCACACGCACTCCACACGCACTCCACACGCACCTCCGATTTCCCCCGCATCTCCGATTAGCACGGTTGGCTATGTACGGCGCGTAAGAAATTCAACATACATACACGCGTTCAGCCGAGTCTCGAGACGTGCGTCTGGCGATGGCAGTCTAATCGTGTCTGTGTGTCCGCGTGTTCATTGGTGTATGTGCGAGAGTGTCTGCATGTGTCTGAGAGTGTATGTGCGTTTGTATCTGTGTGTGTCTGTGTCCACGTGTGTGGGAACGGTGGCGCAGCGGTTAGGGCGCTGCGCGACGATTTCCGCTCATGGTCAGCACAAGTGACGAATATCTTAATTTGTCCTGGGCATCACCTAGGTGGACTAAGCCTCAAATGAGTGCCTGGTGCGATGTGTAAACATCGGCACTGAGGAGATAAAGGCTGTCAGGTGTGCTGCTGGCCACCCACCCCCGCGTGTGCTGTGCCGACCTTCATAGGTGCCGCATGTGCCCCAACTGGTTGATAAAGCCTATACGGGGGATCTTTGTCTTTGTAGCTACAAGGAAGGCAAGGGTGACGACACGGTCACACCAAGCCCCCGAGCAGCCTGACGCTTCCTCTCCTGCCACCACCGCCGCTCCAAAGGAGGTCAAACCCCAACAACCAAAGGGTGTAGATGAACCAGCAATAACCACAACTGTAGCACCCACCATAACCACCACAACCAAGCCGACCACCACAACCACAACCAAGCCGACCACCACAACCACAACCAAGCCGACAACCACAACCAAACCGACCACCACAACCCAGCCAACCACCACAACCACAACCCAGCCAACCACCACAACCACAACCCAGCCAACCACCACAACCACAACCCAGCCAACCACCACAACCACAACCCAGCCAACCACCACAACCAAGCCCATCACAACAACCACCAAGCCAACCACCACCACACTCGCTCTGGCACAAAATACAACTTTAATCACAACCACCACTATGCCTCCAACCACGATTGCACCAACCACAATAATCACGACTGCAGCTGCAACAACCACCATTCCACAACCGATAAGCACTAAACTGCAAAACACCACCACATCCACAACAAACACAACCACCGTTCCAACACCACCACTGATACCGTCAATTGGACCAACCACCACCAAACCAACCACCACAACCAAACCACCTACAACTGAACCACCACCCACCACACAACCACCACCTACCACACAACCACCATCAACCACCACACAACCACCACCCACCACACAACCACCACCCACCACACAACCACCACCTACCACACAACCACCATCAACCACCACACAACCACCACCCACCACGCAACCACCACCCACCACGCAAACACCACGACCCACTACACCACCACCAGCCACTACACCACCAACAGCCACTACACCACAACCACCACCGACTACACCACCACCACCACCACCCACTACACCACCACCACCCACTAGCGGTGCTGTCCCCCAATCCACTGCTACGCTGGACAGCACCACCACGCAGGAAGGTGGGGTGGGGGGGCGATGGTGCGAGGAATGGGCCTTCCGCCGAGGGTGGGGGGCCCACGGAGGCGGGGGGGCCCATGGGTGGGGACGCGGGGGCCCTGGTGGCCTGCACGTTCTTCGGGGTGGTACTAGTGGTGGCGGCGCTCGGCATTCTGGGCAGGAAGGCGGTGATGAGCTACAGACGGCGCGACTACACGCGGGCGGACTTCCTCATCAATGGCATCTACAACTAAACCTCTCCGTAACGATGATGACATCAACAATGGCATCTCCAGCCAAGCGCTCATCTTCCTAACGATGACCTCCTCCTCATCAATGGTTTCCGCGACTAATTACAACCGGTTACATCTTCTCTGACAATTACAGCTTATTCTCTGTACAGAGGATGAATTCGTCATTAACAGCACCGACAGTGGATGGTACCCACCAATGAAGAGACTTTACATCCTGATCATCATCATCATCCACTGCAGAGCTTAATTAGAGCTAGATCTTTCCGGGCCGGCGATCCGTAAAATATCTCCGCACTCTGCACACCACATCCAGGATACCTCGTGCCATGGCTGTGGTTACTACTGCAAATCACGTTCCACCTACCAGCGAGCAAGGAAGCCCCTATTATGACAGCTACAACTAAATCCTTCCCAACGATGACGGCTGATGATGAACAGATCCTCATCCACGATATATACAATCAATTCCACAATGATGACGACGATGTGAACACATCTTCGGTAATGCTCAGTCCACTGCTGGACCGGGACTGAGAGATGGGGAGCGACACGAGGGACGGGTAACTGACTGTGCGAGCGGCCACTTTCAGCCACGAGGGTGGCCGCTCACTGCCGACGAGCACAAATTGTGTCGAATAACACAGCCTCACTGCAAGCCTGGACAGTCGGTGGGGCGGGGAGGGGGTATGGAGGAGGTATTTGTGGTGGGGGGGGTGACGGGGGGTTGTGGGGGAAATTCACGGTTACTCTGGGATTAAACGACCTCCTGGCTGGTCACAGACAATCAGAGTGGGGGGCTACTGCACTATATTAATGAGCTAAATGAGGGCTGAGGCATCGACAGCCCCATGTAGGGGCTGCTACTTTTTAACCGCACTCATCGGGTACTAGAGGGGCCGCGCTCTCGTTGCTTTCCGAGGAGCTGCAGGCGTGCTCGGCGTGCTCGGCGTGCTCGGCGTGCTCGGCCCCCGCGTGACCGCTGTGCCGCTGCCGCCATTCCCGACCACACCAACGCCGGTCCCCGGGGCCAGTTTGCCGACCCGGCGCGGAGAAGGGTGCGGACGCGTCCCACGAGCAGCGGCGGCGAGGCGTGGGGAGGTGCTCGTCCAGCGGTAGATTGACCCTTGCCTCCACGTGCATCCCACGTGGCCGCTACGCCGGTTCTCGCGCGCGGCGAGTCGGTGGCCGAGGGCCCCCGCGAGGCCCAAGGCTCCTGGTCCCGGGTCTCGATCGCGAGGGCGTTACCGTCGCTAACGAACTTTGCAATTAGTGAGCGTGGCGATGGTCATCACTCGTGGCGACAGCAGCAAGTGGGACTACGATCACAAGATTGGAGGTGTGGGCGAGTGTGATGAGGGGGCGGTGTGCGGATACTGGCTCACAGTGTTTTCCTGCGGAGGCGGTGAGGATTCGCCAATCCCTACGGTCACAACACACGCGTAACGTCACCTACAGCACAATTGTTTCTGATCTATGCAAATTGTATATGTATACAAATGGAAAAATAATATACACTCTGGGACAGCCCTGCCAGCGTTTGCTCATCCGGCCACGATGTCTGACGTTTTGCGCCACGTGCTGCGACCAGGGTGGGGGGGGGGGGAGCCGAATTTTCAGCTCCTGAAGTTCTTAGCATGCGGAGCAACACGTCGAGCGTCGTGTGACCACGCGGCGAATGGCACTGCCTCGAACAAGGAGCGGAAGCTGTCCAGCGGCATGGCCGCGAAATCTGGTCGTGGGCTCTCACGGTGGGGGTGTAAATATAAATAAACAATATGGCCACAGCCTCCATGTGAAGCGTCTTGTCTGGTAAACAACTGATAAGTGTGGTCATACCTCCAGCTGTCTGTGGTGTCGGCTGCTTGCCCCTGTTTAAGTGCAGACTCAAGAGTTTTCCTCTTCTCCTGCCTCTCTCACAGATTGAACTGGAGAATCGCGCAGTTTCATTCTCACGTGCAGACCCATGGCCTCGTGTAGAGACCCAGACTTCCAGAGACCCGTAGGCTCACACGGATTCACAGGCCCACAAAAATACCCATTACTCACAACTCTCAGAGAACCACTGTCTGACAGAGGCCCACGACTGCTGCTCCCTACCGAGTAAACAGCCCCGCTGTTCCTGTGCCGCACCGAGACACGCGGACCTTGTCAAGTGCACTGAGCAATGGCTCCTGTGTCAACAAACGCACACACTCATCGCCCAGGTCTCCATGGCTTCCGGCTCGATCAACGTTTGCCACTGCTCTCAATTGAGCAAGGTTACCCTGACAGCTTCGGAATGAGACCTTTATCCAGCAGTGGATCGATCACAGACCAGCAAAATCCGATTTGTCCTTCATCCGCTCTGGTGCCTCGTTGGCAGTGAGTGGCTCGCAAACAGAAGGGCCCAAGTTTAAATCCCAGTCAGGGGTTGACTCGGCCAATCATCCATCTGGTGTGTATAAAATAAGTACCACTTTGTGGAGAAGCCTACAGTGGTCATTCTGTAATTGGTAGCCCCTGCCATAAGAATGTGGAATTTTCAAGCCGAGTTGTTCAGGGCTGCAGATCCTGGGTTAAAACCCGTTGAGAAGCAGCCGTACCCTGGCTCACCAACACAAGGCAGTAGAGCAAGGTGAACTATTCTCCCATCTGTACGGGGATAATGTGTTGCCCCCTCCCACGCACGGATGTTCTCCATGTGCTGCGGTTTCCTCCCACATGTATAACATGAATTGGCTTAAAACATTATAACATATAGAGGACCGCAGAGCTTGGGAGGCAATTACTGGAGTGGCCGGCTCCTCGTGGCCTGGCTGCTGCTGCTGCTGTCTTTCCTTCCGTCTGTGGTTCCGCGACGACCGCGAGAGATGCAATCGACACGAGTGACACGTCCCCGCATTGCCGCTCGGTGGCATTTATTTCACACGGTGTTCATCATCGTTACTGTTGCCAAGTTGTGTGCGGTTGTTTGTGTGCCTGCCCTCGCTTCTGGTTGTGTGAGCCCGCGTGGCTAAGGCCGCGTGGCTAAGGTGGTGATGGTGGTGGTTATTGGTAGCGACGGCAACATTGGCGGTGATGGTGGTGTGGATGTTAGCGGCAGTGGTGGTTGTGATGTTGGCGGTGGTGGTTGCGGTGGCGGTAGGAGCAGTAGCAACGAGTGGTTCTAGCAGCTATTGGTGGTAGCGGTGGTGGTGTTGTTGATATTGCGAGCAGGGATAGTGGCACCGGTGCAGGCGGTGGTGACGGTTGTGGCGGTGGTTGTGACGTCTCAGCCGCTGACGATGCTGAGGAGCGACGTGCGGACTTGAGTGAGGTGCTGGTTCCACGAGCCGAGGCTATCAAACAGCTGCTGCCATTGCTGCCGGCCGAACGTGCGGTGCGTGCTGTGGCTACGCAAGCAGAAACAACAACAGCCACAACAGCATCAGCCACCACCATCACCGCACCGATAACCACCGCACCGACAACCACATCAATTACCACAACATCAAGAGCAGAGATTAAAGAGGGGAGAGGTCGGTGATAAGCGTGAGAGGGAGGGGAGCAGAGTGAGATGAGAGGCAGGAGAGTGCGTGGAGGGGAGTGGTTCACACACACACTCCGCGCGGTGACTGTGGAACTCACTTCACGACCACTTTGCGCTGAGTCTGGTCGATCTTGCAATGAACCATCTTGGTGCGCACGGCTGTAAACACAGGCGCAGGGCGACACCGGGCACAGTCACACACGTGCACAATATCCCTTCCCCACGGGCACATCCGAGGTAGCGCGAGGCCAGCACGGCACGCGTGGTTTTCCACCGGGGCTATTTGCCGATGATCAAACTGTTATACACGCGCTGCTGCTGCTGCTGGTCTCGCGAAAGACATCCGAGTCTGGATCCGGGCTAAGCAGGGCCACATGCGGGCCTCAGGAGCATTCGTTTGTTGTGTGCAATGTCAGTCGGTACACTGTGAGGACACTCGCTCACCGCCACGTCATCCACACGTGTCTACCTCTTCCACCAACCTCCTCCTCCTCTACCACCTCGCCCAACTCCCTCTTCCTTGACCACCTTCTCCTCCGTCACATCTTACTCCTTCACATCCTCCTACTCGCTCTCCATCACCACCTCCTCTCCTACCATCACTTCACCCTCCATTCAGCCTTAAGACTGTTGGGGCAAGTGCAGTTAGCGAGCACCTATGAAAGCCGGCACGGCACACGAGGGGGTGGATTCTATTCTATTTCGCATTTATGGATGGCCGGCACCACGCCCGGCCGGCACCATGCCCGGCCGCCTTTGTCGACGATGTTTACATATCGCACCAAGTCCTCATTTGAGGCCAAGTCAACCTAGGAGGAGGCCCAGGACCGGTTTAGATAATGATGGCCGTGAGCTGGAATCAAATTCGGGGTCGCCAGAGTCGTAGCGCATCGCGCTAACTGTTGCGCCACCGCTCCTCCTGCTACACATACTTCTCCACCGCCATATCCTCATCCTCCACGACCATCACCACCTCCTCATCCTCCTCACCGTCGATGACGAAGGCCTCCACGTCGTCTTGAGAGATCTGGAGCTCCTGGGTGATGGTGGAGAAGCCAATCTCCGTTTGCTCCACGGCCATGCCCATGAACGTGAGCAGCCGCATCTTGCCCAGGTTCTGTTCGTGTGACAGTCCTGGGGGGGGCGGCAGGGGTCACGGGGTCACGGGGTCATGGGGGCAGCACCGTCGGGTTTAGTCGCAGTCATCATACACGTCCACGACAACCCGTTTAGTCTGGCTCTGTGAGTCTCGGTGATTAACACGGAACCCTGTGGGAGCTTGAGTTTGGCTCTGTGAGTGACCACCAGTGGGCGGACTGGGATAACCCGGGGTGTTCCCTGTGCATCCACCCTGGCCTGCAGGGGGCCGGTGTTTGTGGGCGTACTCCTACCCAGGGACTCCACAAAATCTTTGTTGGCCCCGTAGAACTTGAGGTAGGCGGACAGCTTCCCACTCACAAAGATCGTCAGCAGCTATGGGTCGGGGGGGAGAGACAGACGACACACGAGTGATACACGTGACACGCACGCCGCCATCACGTGCGCTCCTGCGGTGGCGATCGCGGTGCCCTCACGTCGTGGATGAGCTCCCCCTCGAGGAATCGAACCGGTTTCAGCGCCAGCAGGTGGTCGAACAGGAATGTGTTGGGGTCGCGTAGGGCGCGCACTATACACCTGCGCACACACACACACAGATAAAGGTCCCCCATGTAGCCAGTGCTGACTGTTGGATCAAGTGCTGTTAGCCGGCAACGTTTAATGCGACACGTTAACCAGTAACGCCCCGCCTACGAAACCCGGTATGACGCACGAGGGGGTGGTGTGGCCAATACACCACTCCCGGCCGTCTTTGTCTCCCCAGTGCTAATGTTTTTACACCACACCCAGGCAACTGGAGGTAGCCATGGCCGGCAATTGAAAATAGATCATCTAGGATCACAGTGAAGTTCATGAAGCATGAGAGGAAAGAGGTGGGAGAGAGTGGTGTATGAGAGTGGGGAGTATCCCGAGAGAGTGTGTCGAGTGTACAGAGGGAGTGGCGAGAGTGAGAGTGGGGTGAGAGCGTGTACCTGTGTGCATCGTCGCGAGCCTGCGAGGCGTTCTCCTCCGTGTAGCTCCCGAGCAGCTCCACCATCACCCGCGCCGCCCGCTCGCTGTACCCACTACCAACATCAACAACATCACCATCAACATCACGAACATCAACATCACGACCTACAGCGTCGCCCGCTCTGTACCCACTACCAACATCAACAACATCACCATCAACATCACGAACATCAACATCACGACCTACAGCATCGCCTGCTCTGTACCCACTACCAACATCAACAATATCACCATCAACATCACGAACATCAACATCACGATCTACATCGTCGCCCGCTCTTTAGCCACTACCAACATCAACATCACCATGTGTGCATGTCAGAGGGCGCATGAGTGTCTGGAGGGTGAGGATGAGAGAGTGCGCGAGTGTGTGCACGTGTCTGTGTTTGAGGATGAGAGGGTGTGTGAGTGCGTGCGTCTGTCTTGAGTGTGAGGATGAGAGGGTGAGTGTGTGTGTGAGGATGAGAGGGTGTGTGTGTGTGTGTGTTCATGTATCTGTGTGTGAGGATGAGAGGGTGTGTGTGTGTATGCATGTATCTGTGTGTGAGGATGAGAGGGTGTGTGAGTGTGTATGCATGTATCTGTGTGTGAGGATGAGAGGGTGTGTGAGTGTGTGAGGATGAGAGGGTGTGTGAGTGTGTATGCATGTATCTGTGTGTGAGGATGAGAGGCTGTGTGAGTGAGTGTGTATGCATGTATCTGTGTGTGAGGATGAGAGGGTGTGTGAGTGAGTGTGTTCATGTATCTGTGTGTGAGGATGAGAGGGTGTGTGAGTGAGTGTGTTCATGTATCTGTGTGTGAGGATGAGAGGGTGTGTGAGTGAGTGTGTTCATGTATCTGTGTGTCAGGATGAGAGGCTGTGTGAGTGAGTGTGTTCATGTATCTGTGTGTGAGGATGAGAGGGTGTGTGAGTGTGTTCATGTATCTGTGTGTGAGGATGAGAGGGTGTGTGAGTGAGTGTGTTCATGTATCTGTGTGTCAGGATGAGAGGGTGTGTGAGTGAGTGTGTTCATGTATCTGTGTGTGAGGATGAGAGGGTGTGTGAGTGTGTTCGTGTATCTGTGTGTGAGGATGAGAGGGTGTGCGAGTGTGTTCATGTATCTGTGTGTGAGGATGAGAGGCTGTGTGAGTGAGTGTGTATGCATGTATCTGTGTGTGAGGATGAGAGGGTGTGTGTGTGTGAGGATGAGAGGGTGAGTGTGTGTGTGAGGATGAGAGGGTGTGTGAGTGAATGTGTTCGTGTATCTGTGTGTGAGGATGAGAGGCTGTGTGAGTGAATGTGTTCATGTATCTGTGTTCGAGCGCCAGCAAACGTGGGCTGCGAGTTTCATGGCGGCGCTTCCACACTCGTACTGCGACCGCCATTTCACTCTCCATGTGAGAGGTGACGAGGCGTTCCCCAAACACGACTCAACACGACCGCCACAGATGGCGACGGCGTGGGGAGGCCTTCATGCAGCAGTGGATAGATCACGGCGGGGGAGGGATCTGGGTGGACACCTGCGTTTGCAGTCCACCAGTGCGTCGTAGAGAAGACGAAGGATGTGCTGCTTCTTGTCGATCGTGAGAGTCCATTCAGTGAACCACTTGCGCACCTGGGATGAACACAAGCAAAGATAAACATCCCGTGTAGCCTACGCAGGCTGTCGGGGCAAGTGCTGGGAGCGAGCGAGCACCTATGAAGGTGATAACCACTGTGCTACCGCACGCATATTATTATTAATGTTTCTCTTGTTTACCCAGAAAATCCTCTCTGGTTGCCAATAGTTCAGATGCATGCTTGGACCCCTTTGTGAGATTCGGATGAGTGGTATAATCACCAAGTGGATTTTTACTGGCGCAGGGAGAAGAGAGGGTGGAAGAGGGAAGGGTGGAAGAGGGGAATGAGGAAGGAGGAGAGAGCCGGCAGGAGGAGAGAGCCGGCAGTCGGGGAGAGCTGGGACCCTGGTAGGAGAGAGGCTGAGGCGAGTAACCTGCTCAAGCTCCGTGGGGATGTGGTGGATGGAGTTGCAGGAGCCGGCGAGGCGCACGAGGCTGCAGTAGACGACGTAGCGCGCCGGACCCTCCCCCATGCCGTGGAACAGGTTACTCAGCCTGGGGGGGGGCGGGGTGCATGGAGAAGCACAGCTCCAGTCTCATTCAGTATGTGCGTGTGTGCGAGTTCGATTCCAGCTCGTGGCCATTAACAGTGGTGAAATGTCCTGTCTCGGTCGTCGGCCTCCCCGAATTAGATTCAGTCTTAAATGAGTACCTGGGTGCAGTGTGTAAACAGCCACTGGGGAGACAAAGGCGGCCGGGCGTGGTGCTGGCCACCAACCCCCTCGTGTGCTGTGCCGGCCTTCATAGGTGCTCGCTAACAGCACTTGCCCCAACAGTCTGTAAGGCTATATGGGGGACCTCTGTCTTTGTGTGAAAGTGTGTGCGTGTATGTCTGAATGCGCGTACACGTCTGTGTGTATGTGCGTGCGGCTGAATGCGCGTACACGTCTGTGTGTTTGTACGTACAGCTGCAGGCGCAGCAGGGGCCGCTCGCCGTCGCGGCCCTTGGCGAGCTGCTCACAGAGACTCTCAACCAGGCCCTGCTGCTTCTCCACGTTAAGGATCAGCAGCAGCGAGATCACAGAGTTCAGCACGCTCTCCACGTCTACACGGGCACGCCGCACACGCAGCAACGTTAGCAGAAGCAGTAGCAGCAGCAACAGTAGCAGCTGCAGCGACAGCAGTAGTAGCAGCCGTAGCAGCAGCGCACAGGGAAAAGGTAGCGTGGCCCCTGCTCAGTAATCACACGCACATTCGCGAAGTGTTCCATTACTGACTTAAAGCTTTCGTTACTGCAAAAATTCATATTCTTTGGGTCTTTCGGTAAAGTCACGTAGATAGGTTAAAAGAAAATAACAAAAAATCGATCGCAACACAAGCAGTCGAAAGACCCAAAGAATATGTTCCATTATTTTTTAGCATTCACCGCCACTTATTGTCACTTGGCACATGACAGCGGAGCGTCTAACAGTCCGTCATTTAGTTATTGAAAAGGGCAGAGAGAGGTGCAGGGAACGAGAGAGGAGCGCGAGGTGGAGGAGACACGGACCCTTGTCCTCATCCTTCCAGATGACGTGGAGTGCCGACAGGATGGTCGCCAGCTCCTGCTGGAGGCCCCCTTCGCTCGCCTCCTCTGAGACCTCAGCTCCACGCGCGCGCAGGTACTGGCGCAGTTCCACCGCCTGCGTGCATGCACACGTAGTTAGTTATGTAGCAGCAGCAGCTGACATGATCTATCCAGACTGCCACATTACCACATACATCGGCCATACACATCAACTGCACATTGCCACCCACATTACTAGCGCATCGCCGATATACAGAACCACTCACACCAGCTGCATCACCCTAATGTTACTACACGCAGTCACACATCCCTCTTATCAAAAAGATTACCAGCTACCCATATCACCACACACATTAAGACTCACCACCAATCACGTTATATATCACCGCACAAACTTACGTCACCCATCCGCACCACCACACACACCACGTGCACCACCACTCACATCTCCCAAGTCAACGACCATTTCACCACCATCCAATCACATTGCCACACACCATACATCAATCAGCCTTACACATCAACTTGCACATGACCATCCCCCGACATGTATGTTGAAGTTCTTTCGCACAGTACGCAGCCAACCGAGATAATCGTGTATACATCACCCATACACACCACCGTTTACATCACTACATACATCACACAAACATCGCCCAACCACATCACTATCAACACCATTCATCGGCATTATCCACACACACACCATCACACCATATCACTACACGCAAACCTGTCACGAAATCACCCAACATATCTCCACCCATACACACATCACAACTCAACATCACACGCATAAGCCACATCACAAACATCACAGACACGCACACACGAGACCCACGAAAACCATCTCCTTCATCATCACCAAGCACTTCACCGTACACACCACCACAGCATCGCTCACCAGCATCACAACCACCCAACATCACCATCCACAACATCACCATCCACAGCATGACACAGATCCATGAGGGGGCACGATACGATAGCGAGCATCTCGTCAGGCACAGCGCACAAGGCGCTTGGCGTGGGCAGTACCACACGCGGCCGCCTTTGTCTCCCACCGTGATGAAGTTTATCACCCACATCACCAACACCACCTCACCCGTTACCTTGTCCATGCATTTAGTGCGACCCCATTCACCCCCTAAAGAGGGTGACCCCATTCACCCCCTAAAGAGGGTACCCCCCCCCCACTACCACCGCCGCCGCGCTTGGGATCCCCGTGCGCTGCGAGCCACTGGGGCCGTTCCCATGACGGGGCCAAGTCAACTCGTCGCCCTTCCTCCCGCTCCCTCCTTCGCCCTCCCCGCGCTCTCACCTGGTCCTCCTCAGTGACGTCTATGAAGGCCGGGACGCTCATCGCGGCGTTTGTGGAGAGTTAAGCGCGAGGGGCGAGAGAGGGGAGCGGAGAGAGAGGAGCTTGGGGAGAGTCGCGGGAGAGGGACGCGCGGAGGCTTCGCCGCTACCGCTGGGCCTCAGACCACGTGCGAGGGGACGCGCGAAAGCTTCCGGGTCGCGGGGTCACGCGAGGCGGGGCCGTGCCCCACATGGCAGGGCAGAGGGAGCGGTGGCGCCGTGGTTAGCGCTGCTGCACGACGCTGTCAGCCAGCGAAGCGTTCACGCTCAGGGCCACCACGGTGAGGGGGGACAGGGTCCAGGGCCTCCCTCTCCCGAGGTCGACTCAGCCCTGAAGCGCTTGAGTACCTGCTGCGGTGTGTAGTGAACATCAGAGCTGGAGAGACAAAGACGGCCGGGCGTGGTGGTGGTGCTGTTGGCCACACCGACCGCCCTGTGTGTGTGCTCTACCGGGATACAGCACTTGCCCCACTAGTCTGTCGAGGCTGTACGCAGAATCTTTGTCTTTGTACCCTGGTTAAAATCGGTCTCTTTTGACGTGAACGGTGGTGTCATGGTGAGCACACGGGCCTCGCAGTCCCGCGTGAGGTGCCCAAATTGACCCTCTGACCCGGTGTTCTCCATTGCAAGGCCCTCTCGGGCACACTTCGTGAAGACACCACGTGCGTGAAGACACCACGTGCGTGAAGACACCCCCTGTGTGAAGACACCCCCTGTGTGAAGACACCACATGCGTGAAGACACCCCCTGCGTGAAGACACCCCGTGCGTGAAGACACCCCCTGTGTGAAGACACCCCGTGCGTGAAGACACCCCCTGTGTGAAGACACCCCGTGCGTGAAGACACCCCCTGTGTGAAGACACCCCCTGTGTGAAGACACCCCGTGCGTGAAGACACCCCCTGTGTGAAGACACCCCGTGCGTGAAGACACCCCCTGTGTGAAGACACCCCGTGCGCGAAGACACCCCCTGTGTGAAGACACCCCGTGCGCGAAGACACCCCGTGCGTGAAGACACCCCCTGTGTGAAGACACCCCCTGTGTGAAGACACCCCCTGTGTGGCGGGCCTCACACTGATGATGTCTTCTCGGCGCAAGTGGCTCCCTCTGAACATGAGTGAAGAAGACGGCTCCAGAGCTCCAGCAGTGGCTTGAGCACTTCGAGGAGGCGATCATTTTGCAGCCTCTGTCCAACTTTAGCCACGACCTCTCTCTGGCCCTTGTGTACCCCTGATTAGCACGATTGTCTACGTACGGTGCGAAAGAAGATCAACATACATTTCCCGAAACGTGAACTCACAATGTCCCTTTGGGACCGTCCATAAATGACGTCACGCACCTAGGGGGGGGGGGGGGGGTCAGACATTTGTGACGATGTGTGACGAAGGGGGGGGGGGTGAGAAATGTGACGTCACATCAAAATGCGCAACTTTAAATATAGACAACACGTTCTACTTAATTTAATAGACGTTTTAATAAATGTTTTCTCCTACAACATCAGAGTGCAGCGCCACATTAAATACGCACTACAATTACAATAGTTTAAAGCGATTTGAAGCATCTTTTATATTTTTTGGTGGGGGCGGCAGAGCTTTGTGACGTCATATTTGAGGGGGGGTCTGACTTTGTGACGCCTTGTGACGAGGGGGGGGGTCAAAAATCGTCCAAAATCGCGTGACGTCATTTATGGACGTCCCCTTTGCAGTCCACACCCACGGTGATGTTCACGCGGCCTCGCCAGGTGGTTTGCAGGAATCCGCGCCCTTTTACCTCGTAACTGATCAACGTCCTGAGCCCACCGTGCCAAATCAGCGCACTCGTCACACGAAAACATTCCACTTAGATCGAGATTCACAAATACGGGGGTGGGATGGGGGCACCACCACAGCCTCCTCTGAGCCCAGTCCCCTGGCTCATGAACCACGGCGATATAAAGTGGCAGCTGCTGCTGCTGCTCTCTACAGCAACATCAGCCACACAGCTCTCGGACCCCGTAATCGAATCTGAAAACGGTTTCCGACTTTCTGAACCGGTAACCGATTCCGAAAACAGTTACCGGTGTCTCGCTTTCGGCACCGTAACCGCTTCTGAAAGCGATTTCCGGTTCCCGGCTTTCCGAACCGATAACCAGTTCTAGAACCGGTTAACGGTTTGCTGGTTCCCGTTTAACAACCCGACCTGATTCCCAGACGTATTGAGAGTTTCCCCGTCACTGATTAAAATGTTGTTTATCCCCGAGACTGCACGCTCGGTTGTCATCACGTGATCCAGCCCTGTGGAGGCAGCAGCGAGGGTTGGCGGGACACGCACAGCGGCACAGGTGTTTCAAATGTCCCGTCATCGGAATGTGGAATTTCCACCACCACTGCCCATTGTGCAGCAGAGAGCGGGCACGACCTCGTGGTCTCGATAGCCAAGCAGGTCCGAGCCTGTTGTTAGGGGCCACGCGGAGGGCAGCAGAGGGCAGCTCTGGGCAGGGCAGCTCGACTCAACTCGTGCTGCACGCTCACCGGCCCGCGTGGTGAAGTAGCGCGGCTCGTCCACTAGGGGCGTGGGGTCGCCGCCCCACCCAGCGGCTGGAGATGATACATTATTTTTGTAATAAAAATACTTTTTCTCTAAATTGTTTCCTTGTGTTTACATTTTTTTAATATGATGAGTCTTTCAACATGAATTGCCTAATTAAGGTAACATTTTAAGTTTTTCATATTAGAAACCGCTGTCACGCCACAGTCTGATTTCCCTTCATTCGCTGCGATGAGCTTCCCATTGCAGCCCCGCCGTTTGAGACCCATCCAGGGAGGTAAAAAGGGCGCCCGTGGCTGCGACGAGAGACGCCGTCACAACGCGAGGCTGCGCCGTACAGATAGAGCAGCAGCTCACGGCCGACACACTCCAGGATGAAACAGCAGCGATGGCAGCGGGTGCAGCAAACGAAGAATTAGCAATGAACACTGTGGGAGTCACTCCTAAATATTCACTTTGAAAGGATGACTATGCAAGAGAAGTTGAATGTCAAGCAACTGGGTCCTGGTCAACTAGAAATAGTCATCAACCAGTCCTCAGGCGACGGGGGGGAAACAACCTGGACACCACCTTCTCTGAGACTTTGAAACTCCTTCGGATCCACATAACGATCCCGATGACCACTGCTGAAGCTGAAAGGTGTTTTTCAACTTTTAAAAGAGTAAAAAAAACATTTTCTGAGAAATGCCATGTCCCAGGACCGCCTTAACGCGCTTGCTATGCTTTCGATGGCAAATAAACCGATCACTGAAATTCCCGACTTCAACAGACGAGTGATTGAAAAGTTTGCTTCTCAGAAAGACCTCCGTGCCAAATCATTGTACAAATAGGCCAATGGAGAGGAAGGGAGCCTGCTATCGTGAGTAGCCCATCCTGGGGGCGTTATGTGCAGTAAGTTATGTTCATTAGTTACTGGAAATTTAATGGGTTGATTGAAATATGGTTAAGCATGTAGCCTAACAGCCCTCGTGTTGCCTTAAAAACAGAAATGTGTTACATTGAACTTAATGGTAGCTTAAACCCAAAGCCAAATATGTAGGATGGCAGTCTACGTCTAGCTTTCCATTCAACAATGTGTAGTCAGGGTAAAGTGATGTTGCAGTTGCCACAGATGAGACAAACAGTGACCACACAACCAAACAAGCTTCGTGAAAAGTGAAGCAGATCGGCCTGTGTACATTGCATTAATGTCGCCAGTGAATACAGATGACCAAAGCTTGTTGTGTTTAGGCGGGTGTACGATGGTGCCTGGTTGTTGTTGCACGGTAAGCGGTGTCTTGGTTGCCTTGGCTAATTTGTTGAGTCGTGTCGGCCGATCTTTCATTGTTCTTTCGGCTTTTGGCGGTGTGAAAGGGGCTGTGTAGTGTGGACTTGATGGCCATGGGGACACCATTTGAGTGCTCTGTTGTTTTGTATTGTTTATAAACGCCGCCCCTTGGTAGACGAGACAGCTACATCACTGTCACGGGAAGGGCAATGACATGACGAGGTTTTTCTTAACGAGAACACCATCTTTTCAGAGGTCACTCACAACAGCAGCCCCACCTTGTGCGGATGTCACGAGCCGCCACTGGTGGTGAAGTATGGTTAAGCTGCAGTCACGACCCGCAGAGGGGTTGGGAGGCCCTCATCCAGCAGTGGATTGGCAAGGGGGGTGGGCGACTGTCGTGGATGTTGCACAGGACGATGACGTCAGCATTGGATTCCGGTCCCGTGTCTCCCCCTCCTCACCTCATTTCATGTCCCCTCTTCTCATCTCACATCCTCCTCTCTTACCCGTTTTGATTCACTTCTCTCCGATCACCGCTTCTGCTCTGCCCTCCCCCCCCTCCTCCCCCTCTCCCCGTGGTGTCTTTTTTTACGATCAGAAGAAACAAGATGCTCGGTGTAGTCGGCACTTTGCTCCGTTCATCATTTCGGTTTTTTAATGCTTTGCTTTATGTAAACCCCCCCCCCCCCTTTTAAATGAAAGACCCAAAATATATTTTTTCTTTTTTTTTCCTTTCCCCTTCCCTCTCTCTCTACCCCCCTCTCTGCCCCCCCCTCTCTCTCTACCCCCCTCTCTGCCCCCCCTCTCTCTCTACCCCCCCCTCTCTCTCTACCCCCCTCTCTGCCCCTCCTCTCTCTCTACCCCCTCTCCGCCCCCCCCCTCTCTCTGCCCCCTCTCTTCCTACTCCATTTGGCCGTGACGCGAGCTTCGCTAATGAAGAAATCACGCCGAGTTGATGTTCGCGCGGAGAGAAGTCACTGGGGCTAGGGGGAAGGGGGATGACTTTAATTAATGAGAACTCTAATGCGGGCATTTGGCGACAGCCGCGCCCATCTGGCGGAGCGCGCGGGAGAGAGAGCGGAGAGAGTTGGGAGGGGAACGGGGAAGAGTGGGAGATTGTGGGGGAGAGAAAAGAGGTGAGGGAGAGAGTGGTTTAAGAGGAGGGAAAGTTTGGATAGTGGGGGGAGAGCGATGGGGGGTTGGGGGGGGAGTGTGAATGAGGTAAGGAGGAGAGCGTGGGAGAACGATGAGATGGTGGGGAGAGCTTGGAGAGAGGAGGGGAGAATGTGGGGAGAGCTGAGAGAGTCTGGAGAGAGTTTGGAGATAAAAGGGCACAGTGTGGGAGAGCAGGGAAAGTTGGGGAAAAGA